GCTTAGTAGTGTGTTATCTGTAGTGTGTGTGAGAGTTTTTTTTAGTAACCTGAGCAGGTGTGGGAATTCCTCATGTGAAACTGATCTCCGCAAGAAAAACAGTTACGGTTTGAACTCTTTCCCACTCAACTAAATGAGTAACTCAGCAGGTTAAACAGAACTAGCGTATTCGTGTCAGCAGCCGAGCGGTTAATGATTCAGACCACTGTACTATTCACAAAGATGACTCAGAAAATCGTATAACTGTGCTTGTGGCTGTAAGTAATGGTAGACTGTAGTTTAATCGATCCTTAGATGACAGCAAAGTAATCTAAATGTATAAATAGGGGAAAAAAGCAAGCACAATTATCTAATATCAGCTGATATATGCAATATTGACCGATAGTGATAAATTGAAAAACACTGTAAAATCAGCTGATAACCACTAGAGCAGATGTAATAAGATATAAATTGTAAATTTAAAAAAATAAAATTGCAACCAACAAGTGCCCAGCATTTTTGAACTTCAGTATTGTTTAAAAAGCATCCCAGGATGCACCTCATGACGCTAGTTGAACCTAGACAAAGAAGCTCAAATATACGACTCCAAGTGAGTGATAAAAATAAGCAAAAGCAACAAATATGATGCTTTCCGACCGACCTGGTCAATGCACTAATGGTGCTAAAGTCTTCTGCTTTGGAAGCCTAATGCAATCCGGCTATGAGCCTGGATTACCAGCCTAACAAATAAGCGTTATGAGTCAGACAACATTTAATTCTACTAAACAAACCACCCAGACAACTAGTATCCTCAAGAAACCAATCTCGTCTGTCATCTTCAAGTTGAAATCCTCCACCACAAAATCACTTTATGACATTTTAATGAGTAGATTTACTAATGTACACTAAAACTTGGATTCTGTTCTCACCAGGTACCATTGCAGGCAAAGGAGGCTATAACTATACAAACAAACAACATGAAATAATTATACTAAGCATACTCTAACTAAGCATTAGAGCACTAGATGAGTACTTGCCTTGTGTGCAGGAAGATTAATATACAAGTCATTCATACAAAAAAGTTTTACGTCCAACCCTCTCCATTGACGATCAAACATTCATTGGTCCACAGGACTGCCATAATATTCCCAGACAGCAGACGAAATGTAAAAAGCATGCTCACACCTGACCTCCCATATGCAAATTACCCTGCGTCTGATTGGCCACAGTGATGGAACATCTAGGAAAAGCAACTTCTGATTGGCTGAGCTGCATACTGTGTGTGCATATTAACCCCATTTACTGATGGGCTGTAATCCAATAAATCCAGGCCAAGCACACATGCTCTTGTCTCAAACAGAGCAAGAAGGCCAGTAAAGAGGATTTGTGTGCATCTCAGTTGGTGTACTGATGCTATTCCGGGTGCGTTCTCACCGAGAGAAAGCTACGTCTCGTGTCGGGTTGCTGGTGACGGCGGCACTGAATAATTGAGTGAAACGTGGCCCACATCTGCAAGATGAACTCACAAAGAAACTTTCTATTATACATCTGTAATCATCAGAACACACCCAAACTGCCGTGATTCATCCGAGGATATAAAGAAGAGGCTGAATGGGCTTTCAAAAGAATGGCGAGGTGCAGTTGCTGTTGCTATGGAGACCTGACATGATGCGCACTGAAAGGTTTTGTGCAGATGTGATGGTGTGTGTGTGTGTGTGTCAGCATCAAGCCTTCCAGAACCATGAAGAACAACTGTTACGCCACACATAAGACGCTCCAAACGTGAGTGCTTGAATCAGGGACCACAACAAGCTCTACAAACAGGAAAGCGGTGCATTTAATCAGATTAAAATCATCATTATAAAAGCCAAATCCTCTGAAAACATTAATAACTGCGGTGTACAGATGTGAGACTGGAGTGTGTGTGTGTGTGTGTGTGTATCACAGGTGGCTGTAAATGACACAGGGATTATGGAGATCACATGGACGCTCCACATAACATCACAGTGAGCTTGAACTTTGACCGCACAGGACTGTCAGGGTCTAGCACCTTTTGCACTACTTTTTTGGTTTTCAAGGACTACAAACTTATCAAACAATATCTTTATTATCTCTCAAACCCTAAAAAAAGGATAAATAGATAAATTAAAATATACTAATAAAACAAAATGGTACAAATAAAGTGCAGCACATGCAAAGTATGCAATGACAATGGGAACATTAACAAAGCCCTAGAAGAGAAGAGCAAAGGTGCATGAACTTCTTATACGATTCTTATTAAAAGACTAACAGAAGAAAACAGGATTACAATATAATGGCTTGCTTGCACTAAAAATATATATATATATTTTTTTAACTTAAATTACAGATATAACGTATCCAAAATACTACTTAAAACTTATTTAATAATATATATTAAATACAAAGTTTCTAATGGCTATTATTATTCAACAATTCATATTTTATATAATAATGTTGGCTTACTAATCCCCATAACAATTGAAAGGATACTATGACAAATATATTGCTTTCCTCATTCAAACTGTTGTCAATGAAGGAATTGCTCAAAGACTGATATCTTGCCAATAAAATAGTGCAAAGTGTAACCAGAAAAATTCACTACTGAACATTTCTGTGACATTTTTCACATTGCAATTGTACCATTCCTTGATTGCTTGATTTGATTTACATGACTTTAGGAACTGTGTTAATTAGAAACTAAACTAATAAAAGGCTGCACGTATACTTGTGTGTTCTGGTCTGGTTTCATGACACTTCAGCAGCCTCTAGTGGTGAAAACCAACTCTGGTAAAACACTGGTCTGTTAAAGTCAACAAAGTGTTAAAGGAACACGCCGACTTTTTGGGACTTTAGCTTATTCACCGTATCCCCCAGAGTTAGATAAGTCCATATTAGGGGTGTAACGATACACAAACCTGACGGTTCGGTTCGTCCCACGGTTTTGAGGTCTCGGTTCGGTTCGGTTCGGTTCGGTTCATTTCGGTGGGGTGGGGGGGTTTAGAAAGCTAAAATTGCTTTTATTTTTTATTAAACAGTGCTTTAATGAACAAATTGTGTCCTTGTCTTTAAATTAATTCCATTACAAGTAAACGTTTCTCAAGGATAACAAAATTATCTGCTAATGCTGTAAACTACAGCCCTTACTTGCACATTACTATAACATTAAAGCTTAACAACAGAGCCTAGACTTTTAGCCTAAATGATATAATAATAATCAACACTCAAACAACAAATTGTATGAAAACATGTAAACTGCACATAAGGCAATTTTTGCATTAACATGTTTTTACTCTAATTTGTTAATGTTATATAATAATTTACACAGTTGCTGTTATTTTCATGACAACTATTTTAAACATACATTAAATAATCAAGATATCATAAACAGGTTAAGTAAAATATAATATATAGGCTAATATATAGCATTTATTTAGTGAAAGAGTTAGCAAACCAGCAAGCTGTGGACACTGAATGACTTGCCTGAGGTAAATATAAAGCTATGTGAAAAACGAAGCGTTTTATTTGACGTATTTCCGCTGTTGAAACACTGATTGAGTGTTATGATGCCTTTCAGTAAGTATACTGTATCTTTCAACATACCTTCGGGTGTCCATTCATGTTTATTCTGTAACTGAGGAAGAGATGATCGCGCTCCGCGCTGCCGCATGCATACAGTGATATCTGTCACGCCACATCTAAGAGCGCCAAAACGCCATTTATTGTTTGCATTTCGTGATCAAATAGACATAATTTGAAAGATTACACCTTGCTTATTATCAAAAGTAACAAAACACTGAGCTTATTGCGATTATATGTGGTTAATGGTGGTTAGGCAACAGCCCTGCATTCGTTGTGTACACATAACACATGAGGTGCAATGAGCCGGGGCTGGGCGGGGCAGCAGGGGGCGGGGCGTGTTCGGTTCGCCATGAGAGTATCGCGATACGTATCGTAAGTGGTGTATCGCGGTTTTTCGGTTCGGTTCAAATATCGTTACACCCCTAGTCCATATATACCTTTTTCTCTTTACAATACAGCGAACACCCATGATTGTAAACTATGCTTTTACAATCTAGTAATTGCTGACTCTATTACTCCAACTCCGAACGAACTCTCTGCTCCTCACCACGGTGCGTCTCAGTAATCACTCCGCCCAAGTAGCAGTGCTTCGCCTTCTGAGAATATAGTTCCCAATATTTATATGGTTAAAAGATGGCTGTGTCTCATATGACCTTGTTATTTGTACACTCTGTGACTATACAAATCACAACATGTAAATAGGAAAATGTTTGCGTTATTTTGTCACTTATTGGGATTAGTATGCTAGCTGGAGCTATTTACATCCAGTCTTTGTGCTAAGCTAGGCTAGCGGTGAGTGCGTCAGACAGAGTTACGGCACGCACGGAGATGAAAAAGGTATGTATGGACTTATCAAACTCTGGGGGATACGGTGAATAAGCTAAAGTCCCAAAAAGTCGGCGTGTTCCTTTAAAGTCAAGACTGAAATCAGAATTGACTTTGCTTCTGGTCCCATTATGCATGATCTACTGTTGTTTTCAAAACCTTTTAGAACAATGCAATAACATTTTTGTAATGAATATTTGTACTGTGACGATTACTTTAACGATGTCCCCGTGCTCTGTGTATAGTGTAATATTGTATTGTATACATTGTTCGCTACTGTGAACGTGTGCATATATCCTATACTTGTTATCCATACCATCATCCTTTGGAGATTGCATCACCTGTACACTTCATGTGTTCATGGTGTAATGAATGACATTAAAGTGATTGATTTTTTACCTCTCAAACCACTTTACGGCTGATGTAATCTGGGAAATGTAACCTGTAAACTGAACTGGTCTGGGATCAGATTTCCACTTTCATGCAGATGCGACCTTTAAAACGTTTCGGCCAAACTGAACACAGCGCCTTCAGCCCATAGAGACTTGTGGGGGAAATGCATGTGTCCGCAGCTGTGGTGGTGTGTGTCCTCTTACCGTGGGTGTAGCTGACGCACGGGCTGAGGGAGGGGCTTGTGAGCAGGTCTTTACTGGGCGTGTGAAGCCCCGCCTCCTTCCCACGCTGACTCATCCTTCCCGGGGTCAGAAGCGCCGCATCATCACCGGGCATTAAGGCAGCTATGGAAAAATAACAGGGACAGAGGATGCATTTATAAAACAACTGAACGCTGAATCAGTGGCTGTTTTTCACACTACACACAATTTTTTTTAGGATTGATCTGGTAAGATCTGGTTTTAAGGCAAGACTCTAGAGGAAAAAGATTTTTTTTTATGCACTGGTCAATTTTGAGATTTTGGGCTATTTGGCTTTTCATTACATGTTTATTTTTTCCAGTCTACTGGAAAGACACAAAGAAAAAAATGGTAACACTTTACAATAAGGTTCATTAGTCTAACATGAACTAACAATGATCAATACATTTGTTACTGTATTAGTTAATCTTTGTTATAGTTAGTTACTAAAAGATAAACAGATATATTGCTTGTTTATGTTAGTTCACAGTGCATTAACTAATGTTAACAAATACAACCTTTGATTTTAATAATATATTATTAAATGTTGAAATTAATATTAAAGGTACAATATGTAGGAATTTTTCGCCACAAGAGGGCGCAGTTACCAACAATAACAAAGGCGAAGCTTGATGAAGCTATGAGGGAGAGTTGAACGATGGGAGATGTCGTTTTCCCCATCCAGAGATGTTATGGAATTAATGAATCATGATCACGGATGAGGTAATTTATTTGTATTACCTGTACGCCCGATCGCAATATTTTATGTCACCATAATGAATTAACTGCAAGGAAGGTGAAATGTTATGCTATATTATCCTGTTACAGCTATTTTGTCAAATGATTTGTTAGGTTAATGCTGCGCAGTTTTACATGTTTATGGTTAATGCCTTGTTGTTTTACGTGTTCAAACCAATCGTACTCAAAGTAAATTTGAACGAACATTTGCAAGTAATGGCTAAATATTGTTTAACACATATCCGATTGTATTTAATTAATCTTGGTCAAAACACAAGTGATAAAAAGCATAACCAAAGTACAAAGAGCAAAATAACTGAATTTTCATCAGCATAACGATCACTTGATAGTTTTTGAGGTGAATCAACATATGCATAATGATTGATCTGTCACGTCATATAGGCCTATGTATCTCGCATTGTTTATAAGTGATATTATTGACAGTTGCATGTGTTGCAAGGAAACACCGATACATCCTTTTGTTTTATGTACATTTGCTCACCTGTCTAATAAAGTATATGCAAGAGCGGTGTTGCTCCAAGTTAGTCGCGGACGTGGAGCTCTCGGCATCTCGAAAACGCCACGCCGATATTGATCCTCATTTTAGTTCTCCTTTTTTGTCCCAAAGTCTGCTTGCCATGGTCCATAATGTTTGAATGTTTGAAAGAACAACAGCGTGCCGCTAAACGTTACGCACTACGCAGTTGTCCACGTCTGTCGCCATGGTTACGTCATGGCTATGGCAGTACGAGTGGAAACCCAGGATAGCGCGGATATTGCATCATTGACTGCGACATTTTTTTCCCGGGACGGCCACTTATTTAAAATTGGAATTTCTCTGAAATAAAAAATCTTTGGAGACTTTTGGGATATTGTAAGTACACAACTGCAGGAAATATATCACACTGTGCAAGTGAATTTTGGATATTTTATTACAAAATTCCTACATATTGTACCTTTAACTAAGATTAATAAATGCTGTAGAAGTATTGTTCATTCTTAGTTCATGTTAACTAAGGTAGTTAACTAATGTTAACTAATGAATCTTATTGTAAAGTGTTACCAAACAAAAAAAAAAAACATTTGTGTGTATAATACACTATCTTTTTAAAGTCTGTATAGATTTAATTTAAAATAATAATAATAATAATGTGTTTAATTTGTATAGTGCCTTTCTCAAGCTCAAGGACACTTCACAATAACAGTAAGGAACAGACTAAATGGACAGTAGACATTTATCTAAGACATGAGCGATTGCAGTTGCATATCGCATAGTACAAACAGTCAAATACACACAAAAACCATAACATTGTAATAACAGAGAGCAAAGCGGTTCAAAACAATATTTAATTGAATACTATTAGAACAGGGAGTGTCGACGTGGATGTTAAAGTCACTGAGCAAGATTACTCGGAACGATGAAGCACAAGCTAATGTTAGCAGTTCATGGAGTTCGGAGAAAAAAATCGGTTTGCTGGTCTATAAATTAGGATAATAGTAAGGGGACCGTACATATATCACTTGCCTGATTAAATTCTTAAAAACGGGGTGATTTTTTTTCTGGCTGTTGACAATATTTTCAGATTTATGGAGTGATAAAAAGAGAAAAACCTTAAACACTAATATATCAACAAAATAAAACCTGGCTTCATCCAATGATCAGATTTCTGTTCTGGAAATGTATGCAAATGAGTGTATATTTAATTAGATAATGCTGCATCTGCAGTTCAGAAAACTAGTACAAAAATGTCTGAAACTGAGTTTTTTTACCCTATTCTTAAGGCATCTTGCCTTAATTGGATTTAAACACTGTGATTCTTTTGATGTCAAATGACAAAAGAGATTAAATAGCTTTGAGTTGGATACACCAAAAAGCCATATTTGTTTGCGGTCTGTCTGACTCCGAGATGCACATTTTGTGGTACAGCGCTCCCTCTGGTGGCCAATGCACAGAATAAAAACAGGCAAAATTATTACATGGTATTGTGCCGTAAATCAGTAATGATTGTGTTTGTGCACGTCTTCGGATGAGAAAATTAAATGCACATCAAAATCTGCATAAGAATGATCCAATGACGCAGTGCAAAATGTGTAAGGAGAAATAACACAAGCTTCTTGTGAATACGTACATCTCTCTCTCTCTCACACACACACACACACGTGAATGTCAGCTTCTTACCTGCGGTGACAGGATTCTCTCTGTTCTCTGCATGATGCTGAACACACAGACACACACACACACACACACACACACACACACACACACACACAGACACACACAGACACACACACATCAAGGGTCCGCCAGGCAGTGTTGGTTTTGGTGTTGGTGAGATTTTGTGCGTTGGGACACGTTGGCAGCAGACAGAAAGACGGCATGGGGAAAAAAAGGACAAAAAAAGACAAACGGGGAAAAAGAAAAGCAGCATTAGTTAAAAATGACAAACACAATGACACGCATAAAACACTGGCAACAAAATCAAACTGAACAGACACTAAGCAGAATACACACACGCACACACACACACACGCACACACACACGTGCGCACACACACACGCGCACACACACACACGCGCACACACACACACACACAGGACAATGTGGATTAGCACAGATTATAGCTCTGGGATTCTAATTGGTCGGCACATCTGTCAATCACAGTACAACAAATACACTTGTGACAGTTATTGGCAAATGAAGCCGGTTTGAGGTCATGTAGGTTATTGTTTGATTAATGAAGATTTCAGAGCTGCGCTGGATGGGTGTAATTGAATTAAACCTACAGAACCTGTTCATGTTAATGCCCTCATCGTCAGCATATATGACACGTCAAATCGTGAGGATTGCTGTTCATTTGCTTGCATAATCAAAAACAACATATTTGGCATACAACTAACTAGTCTAATCATGTCCGTCTGTCTGAATTAACGATAAACCAGCCTACCTAATCTGTTAAAATATTTTAGCTCTGTACAAATATAATTCAATAACAGTTAGAGCGGATTGAAAAGCTCAAGGATTTATGATGTTTGACCACTTATGACAGTATCAAAGCGGTTTCAGCATTACTGGGATTAAGGATATAAAACACAGAATCAATCCAAAAGCCTCTTTCACTTTGAATTGTGGGCAGTGTTGTTACTGTTAACAAAAACTAAAGCTAGTTTGATCACTAAAATAAAGCAATAATAATAAATAAATAACAACAACAACCAGGCAGCTAACTGAATAAATAAGTTGAAGTTGAAGAAATAAAATTACTAAAACTTAAATCATTATTTTAGTTAATTAAGTTAAAGCTAAATAGAAATATATATATATAAAAAAAACTTCTTGAGATTTCAAAACACAAAAAAATGACTGAACTGAAAATATAAAACCAAAAGCCAATTCAAAATAACACTATAATAGTATGCAATAATACTAAAACAACACTGATTGTATAATGTGCCCCAAAGTCAACACTTCATATTTTAGGCAATTGCAAGAGGTCATCTGGCTATTTAATGTAAACAGCAGATATGAAAGCTATAATATACAATGCACTACTAGTACTATAGTAGAGTACTATCCCATTCTCCAGCTCAGCCAATGAGATCAACTGAAGCCGTGCTTCTATCATGAGTAACGGCATGTTTTCATTGCACAGCCGGGAAAGCATCTGTTCGATAATCCTTAAACAACTCAATGTCTGCTCCGCTTCCTCCTGCAAGAAGCTTCCAGCGTCTGTGTTGATGATGTTACTGCCCATGTTTGTCTATTCTGCTTCCTAACGCCCTCCCAAAACTCACTGTGATAAAACTGCCAGATGCAACAACTTCCTGATGATTCTGAAGGCCTCGAAAGTTCCCATACACTGTAGTGATCATCTGAGCCATGACTATTTCCACACTGTAAAAAATAATCGCGATTTTAACGGTAAAAGACTGTAAAAATAGCCTGACTTCGTCATACTCATATTCTAGTCAGAATGTGAGTCTGATACTGCTCCATAGGGCTTTGATTATGAGTCTTATGGTCTTAACCGAACCAGAAAAAAAAAAAAAAAACTCTGCACTCAATTGGATAGACCTACAACCAATCAGAGCAACGCAGTAAGTGTTTTTTTATGAGCTACGCAAATTGTCAACAGACCTCAACTACACGCACGCTGGAAGAAGTAAAATAACGAGTGTTGCTTCTTTTACTTGGTCCTCTATGAGTGCGACCAAAGGAGAAACCACAACAACCACAGGGCTTTCATTGCGTCCCATCTTCTAAGCGACCATCGGAGCCAGCTGATAAAATAAACTTTTGCCGAATCCCGTAGGAAGGACTTGTGGACAAAAGCCTTGATTGCAGTTCTCTGTTCGTCTTTTAAAATGAATGCGCTGTCGATTTCTTTTACAACAGACGCGATAGCGGACTCTCTACATCTCAGTTCTCCAGCGGCAGTCGTCTCTGAGGGAAACCAGTTCAACCCAAGCGCTCTTTGATAACGTGATGATGACGTAACTGGAGATCATCTGTCCATCATCGTATAAAGCCCGCCCTGGCAATTTGATTGGCCCGAACATTTTTTGACTGATCATAATTACTCCTCAATGGATCGAGTCCAGACCGAACTTCCCGACCAAAAAATGTTGTGGGCTGGCATCCAGGCTACTGTAAAAATGCTACAGTGCAAAACTGTTAATTGGTTAACAGAAAGTTTCCGTACTATATACGGTAAATAACTGTGGTAGATCTCATGGTACATTTAATGTAATTCTACTGTAAACTACCGTTAAATTTACAGTTTTTAAAAGTGTAAAAGAACAACTCATTGTATAATTTACAGTGAAAAACCGTATATTGACATTCCCACAATTCCCGGCGTGACACTTCACATTTTATGTATTTTTGTTGAAATAACTGTTTCCTCATAGTTTTCTTGTTTTTTTTTCTAATCAGTTATGTACATTAGGGTTTTATGTTACATTTAATGTTGTTAAATGAATGTTTATTGCATTTTTTTTTTACCATGATGGTGTGTGTGAATGACACTGTGCAGCTTCTTCATTTAAGTATTAACCTTCTTGTGGAAGAGCTTTGATTGATCATGTGATTCTCATCACTGCTGTGATGATTGGTGGTTGTCAGTGTATTACAATGGTACAAAACAGATATCAATTTTTCAATAGGTTGGTTAATTAACATTATATCAGATAATGAATTACGGTTTATTACTGTAAATTTTAAGTTAAGTCTGTAAAACCAATAACGTTGCTACCGTATTTTTGACGGTAAAGTTCTGGCAACCACAGCTGCCGCTTTTTTACCGCAAAAATTACGGTTTTATTTTTGACAGTGCATTAGGCTATCTTCTAGACAACAAAGTGATGGGACATTTCTCCTTAAGAATTTGTGAATATTTTTAGTATTATTAAAAGGTGCACTGATTTGGTAGTCATCTTGAACAAGCAAAAGCGTTTTGGCTATCAATGCCACGATTCAAAGCCAGCCCTCTTTAATTTATTCAGTGAGCAAAAGTGGCCGATAATAAGACGGTTAGCAAGATAGTGCAAGTATTATTCAGCTGGTCATGTGATGTCGGCTCAATACCATGTGAATGAAACGTCTTTTATGACTGGAGTCTTCCTCTCATGTGAGCGTACATCATTTTAAACCGATTTTTAAAAAACACTGAACATTTATTTAGGGGTCAAACTTTGATTACACACTGCAGAGTGCACCTAAAAATGTACATAGCGAAGCAAAACAAACAACCTTTCTGTGACTCAGTCATACATTACGTTTAGATTTTATTGTTTTTTGAGAAATTAATACTTTCATTTACCAAGGATGCATTAAACTGTTCATTAAAAGTGACAGTAAAGATGTTAACTATAACATTAACTATAATGTTATTATTACAAAAGCTTTTGATTTCAAATAAATGCTTGTTTAAAATGCTCTTTTTATTCATATCCTGATGAAAAATGCATCATGATTTCACACAAAGATATGAAGCAGCACAACTGTTTTCAACACAGATAATAATCAGAAATGTTTCTTGAGCCGCAAATCATCATATTAGAAAGATTTCTGAAGGATCATGTGACAATGATGCGGAAAATTCAGCTTTGATCACAGGAATAAATTACATTTTGAAATGTATTCAAATCGAAAACTGTCCTTTTAAAAAATAATATTTCACAATTTTTTTTTTAATAATTAGATGCAGCCTTGGTGATCATAAGAGACTTTAAATTAAAAAAAATATTAAAACGACCACAATTTGTTTTTGAATGAGAGTGTATGTAGTCAGACTCACAAAGAAGTCAGTCAGTACATTCTCAGATTGCAGAACAAACTAAACGCTGATGTAATGCTGACGTTCTCAAGGTTTCTCCGGACACATATTTAGTTCTCCTGTGGTGCCGGTCTGATGCAAAATTATGGTAATGACACTCGATTCTGTCTGGACTAATGAATCAATGCAATTGCTCATCACCAGCACCACATGGAGTCTGTTTATTCCCTCTTCGGCACTAAATATGAGAGAAAAATCAACATAATTCTGCTAAATGACTTTACATATGGTCAAAGATATGATCAAATTAGGCAAGTTATACAATGAACATGCAAGGCCCAAACATGGTGCAAATGATCTTCCAAAATAGCATCCAGCATATCGATCCGATCAATCCTTGCATCAGCAGGTTTCTCCTTACACACACACACACACACACACACACACACACACACACACACGATAGACTGATAACTCCCAGAAATCAGCTCATTGGATTAACCTGTTTACATGCAAACCTATAACCTGGCAACGCAAGTCAACCACGTTTGCAATACTTTATAAAAAAATAAAAAAATAATTTTATATATATATATATATATATATATATATATATATATACACACACACACATATATCTTTCCCAGTAGTGACATCAAATCGTAATCATTCTTGTATCAGACTCATGAGTATTTCATTTGTTATGTGAGATGTGATGAACAATAAATAAGCAGTATTTTGACTGTACCACTTCTACTTCGGTTGCACGTGATGAGAACATATTTTTATAATTGCTTGGGTCAAGAAAGAGTCGGAGTTTGCGATATATATCCTCCTCCAGTACCACAAACGCTCCCTCTGTCTGGATGCACTTAAATTAGCAGCAAGGTTGGTTTTCTGTTACATCATCACATACCCTTCACCATACCTAGAGATTGGC